ATTTCCGCGATTAATGCAAAATGAATTATCGATCGATATATTACGCGGATATAGCTTTGAAGTAAGCCATTCTTGGAATAATCTATTTAATAACATTTTTCATGTTCCTGCAATTTATAAGTAAAGGTAACGTTTTACGAATTGGAAATAGCTTGCGTCCCTTTAGATCATAACATTTATCATATTAATTTGATGAATAAGTCAACAAGTGTTATGCTTCTTATTCCATGTTAATCGATTTCAACATGAGCAATGCAATCTTTGTTTTATTTTGTAGAAGCTTTGATGTGTTGCTATTAATAGTTGTTCTTTATTTGAATAAGATTGATCTACCCTCTTTCCCAGAAGCTAATCTGACACTGCCTCCTCAAACACTAATTTCAAGTTTTATGCTTCACAAATTTTTAATTATAGATATCCAAATCTGTCTGATTATTCACACCAACAATAAAATTTGTTTCGCACGCTTTTGTATTTGCTTTAAAAGTCGAGCAATTTATACTGGTGTAACCCTGCCACAGAATCTCTGATATCAGGAGTTATTCTTCATCAGAAGGGATTATAGATGACTTACATGGATTGGAATATCTACGATGATAGAAATCGAATATCGAGACAGGGTTCTTGTCTCTCGAGAACTCTAAACAGCGAAATACTGCTGGTTTGACCTCATTTTCACACCTTGGTCGAATCGACAGTGAGACTTAGCGGAACATATCTAATCATGCACTCTGCCACAGTATTCGACAGGAGCCTCAGCATCAAACCGTTGATTTATTACATCCCCAGACACTTCGCTGCTACATTCTCTGAGAGAAGCAACCCTTAACACAGCTACAACTTGTTAAAATGAGAGGGTAAAGAGGATTGTCTTCATTTGTCGCTTTGATAAGTTTTATCTCTATCTTAAGGATTGCGCCTCCGAGAAATGTCGGAGAAACTTATAGAAATGCACTAAATAAACGGCCTGATGCTAGAGATTATCACTGATACTATGGCAAAGGACGTCATATGATGTAAACCCAACACTATACAACTCTAAAGATCGGCCAATTCGAAGGTCTCATCTCAGTCTATATATCTAAAGTATACTCTATCAAATATCTCTTTGAGTGCGCCTCTACCTATCAAAAGGAAAATATTGTTTTTATCTTATTTACCTTTTGCCATATGATACGAATATTTTGATCGATAATTGATCCAGAATAACTTTCTTTGTTTTCCCCAACATGTGTATATGCTTCTATTGTAAAGCTGAACAATAGATTAATGGGTATTACGCTTAATGAAGCTCTTGTAACTTAGATCCACCTAATGACCCTTTACAATAGGTATTTTATTATTTCATATGCAATTAAATATATATGTTTGTTTGGAACCATTTCTAATAGCAACAATCACACCAGGGACAACAGCAGCCACAGCCTCAGCACCAGCAGCAGCAGTTAATGTATGTTACCTCAGCCGGAACAACCGGTTTCCCAGTGCAAGCTACCGCTGTCACTACGATGGCTAACCAGCAACAACAGCAGTCTCATCACCAACAGCTGCAGCAGCAGGTTCAGCAACAGCAGCAACAGCAACAGGCTATTGCAAACGCACAGCAGCAGCTCCATCAATTGGCATATGCAGCAGCCACTCATCAGTTGCCTGGTGAGAGACATTTTCATTATTATTTATATGCTTATGCCGATTAAATCTGTGCTGATGTTATCATATATATATAGTAGTATGTTTTAATTGTTCGTATATTTTTTCATGCGGTCTTAATTATCTTAAACACTCAAAAATATAGTAGAAGTTGTCTGACCTTGTTTTCGCAACTTGGTCATATTGGTAGGAAGACTTAGAGGATTGCACCTAGTCCAGAGTCCATGGTATGCATAATCATTTCCAAAGTCGGACCGTGGACGTGGTACATTCCCAGACGCTTCGCCGGTATCGCCAGTCACTATCGTCATTCTTAGCACCATACAACAACTGGTCAAAGAGACAAGTAAGCCTATCCTTTCATCAAACGTGTGCTAAACAGTTGTGATATCTCCCCCTCTGCGCTGGGCTATTCACATTTCTTATATCCTCCTATCGCACCTTCACTGCCACAATTTTTTACTGAGTCTATTTAGGTGTAGTGTGGTGTGCTCCTCTGAGCGGCACTCATGACAACCCTTCACACTCCATGCTGTCGTTCTCACCCCCTTCATTCTTGTGCTGGGAACTTTGATCAGAGTCTGCCATACTGCTACGCAGTCCTTCCCTAGGTCTTACCAAAGTTTCTCTCTTGCCCCGTAAGATCCATCTGCCCTCTCGCTGGTTTACATATTTTACTCGACCCCTGCCACCCCATCTGTGCCACTCGAGGTGTTATTCGCCCTCCCTTGTGTCTGGCTGACTAATTCGAGGCTAAAGCCTCTGAGTAAGCCTCATGGTCACGCCCTTGCCACATGGAGCACGTCTCTTATAAAGCCTACCGTCAGTCAATTAGCTCCAATGGCCGCCACGTCTATCTTTCTATCCCTTATATCACGTCTATGACTTGCCATGCCCTAGTCTCTTGTGTGCCAACACACAAATTTTGTGGTACTGCTTGCACAAAAGGCCACACCATCTTGGTCTTCATACCTTGAAAAATATACAGTTTCAAAAAAATAATTATTTATATAAGCCTCTGCACTCTGGTCCATTTAATAGGACTATTGTTAAATTTCCTATAAACACAAATTAGGCCTTACTACCCACTTGAATTTTACCTTACCTTCCCAAAGTCTTTCTTATCTAGAATGTTATTCTGTTTTGACTTGCCTAGGCCTCATCAGCAACACCGATTGCATTCAAAACTGAGTAGTGCGTATTGAGCGATGTAAAGCTATCACATGATCATATAGGCTTGAGTGCCAATGGGCCACGCAGCAAATATGGTTTCAATAGTAAGTTAAATCTTCCAAATCTCACCCATTGGATTATTACTTAGACAAACTTGTATTCTCCGTCACAATTGGCGATATTACAATGTAGTGAATGAGTTTATTAGACCTAAGAAGCTCTTGGGTAAGAGATGTGTGACAAATTGCCACTCATGGCTTTGCAGCCAAGTGGAAGTGTGTCCCCACTTGATGCTCAGATCATTTTAAGCCATCTTGGATGAAAACAATTTTTGAGAGATAAGGCTTGATGAAATGCTATGGGGTCTTAAAGCTCACCTATTTCATCTAGGATTTTCACTATCAGTCCTTATATCATCCTGGCCTAGGATGACATTATTATTCTAGATCTACTGATAGCCTTGAAACATTTATTCATATATATATATCGCATATATT